TCTCCAGGATTAGTCCTTTGAATTGCTAAAGGATAGAACAATTCAGGGAAAATGTACATCATATTCTAGTTACCTATAGTTGGAGTTCATAAGAGCAGGTTTTTGTGGTTTTTTTTTTTTTTTGTTTTTTTTTTTTAAATAAAGCAAGTGATCTTCAGCTTTGTCATGGGTGAGAGAGGTTTAACTTCAGCAAGATTGCACTGCTAATCTTGTGACTGAATTGTAAGCATGAAATAAACACCTCTCAGTTCTCCTAATAGTTGGAAGGAAGAAATGAAGTTGTTAGATTAACCATGTTCATCTAGAAATTGAACCTTAGGTCTTTGTGAAACACCTAGACATACTTTAGAAGTCTTTCCCTCTCCCTCTTGAAGCTTTTCTTATACCAAGTATTGCAAAGAGAAGCTGCATAGATCAAAGATGGGTAGTTTAGGTCAGAGCAGAAAAGCCAGTAAATTGGGCGTTGCATTATTTTTCCTATGCCTTGTTTCAGGTTTGGCTTGGAGGCTTGAATTAATGTAAGTAAAACATTATAGGTATGACAGTAAGTCTTCAGGAAGTACTTCACTGTGTTTTATCTTTCTCATTTAACATTAACAAAGTGTTACAAATCTTGCTCATTTTCCTTAATATATGTATCCCCTCAATTGTTCAAACTGTTGTCCACCTTCTGTCTGAAGGACATGAAAAAAGCCTTAGCTAGTCCTTGTCATCACTTGGTTGTCCAGAAGTGTAGAACTCAAAGGCATTATTTTGCTGTTTCGTTTAAATAAATGCGGTCACACTTGTTATTGTTTCAGCTTGTGGCTTATGTTTCATTTAATAGAGCAATGTCTTCTCATCCATAACTGTTTCATACTCAGCAGGTTAGAGCAGCCTGGAGCCAAAGCCAGCTGCATAATACTGGCATCTGCTAGAAGTTAAAGTGCTGCTAGGGCCTAAATTTAGAGGAATATTTTTGTCTAGCTAGATCCTTGCTACTTTCTCTTAAGCTGCTGTTTGTGTATGTTGAAGGTACTGAACGTTTTCCCTCTGCAAATATTACTGCTTGTGTTGGTTGACCTGTAATACTGTTCAGAGGATGTTTGTTTGGTTTTTTTGCTGTTATTCCGCAGACATTGACTCTCACTGTATTGAGGTCCAGTGTCCAAATGTGTTTCTTGCATTGTAAAATATATTTTGACTTTTTTTTCATTCTAATTTAATAAATGTATTGCCTAAACTAAGCCAGAAGAAATGGAGTCCTTTGTGGATGAGGTTATACCTCCTTAAAACTGTATCTAGCTTTCAACTTTTGGAACAGTAATCAAAATAAAAATGAAGCCAAATCCAAGCTGGCATGGAAGGCCTATTTAACTTCAGAATATTTATAAGTCTTTGGTCCCAATGCTATGTTTCTGTCAACACCAGTATTTTCCATCAAGTCACTTTGTTACTCAGACTACCCCACAGTTCTTTGCATTTTAATTCTTGTAGAGGTGCTCCCTACTAGTAACATTTTAAAAATATCCTAAGTTGCCAGTGTACACCAGTTATCAATATGCATACTTTCTTTGTTCTCTTAATTGATACTGTATTTCAAGGCTCTTCTGGTATTGCAGGGCCAAAGAATCTGCTTAGCGAGGATGCTGGAGCTGAGAGGCTGCATACTAATCAAAATAGTTGGCATACTAACCAGTAATGGTTTCATTACTAATCAAAAAGGCTATGAAATAAAAACTATCTATGTGCATATTGGGAGAGTGTGCCCCAGACTTGGTGACATGGAATCTCCTTACAGAACAATCCACCTGTAAGATGTTTTTTGCATCTTTAAAACATGTTTTGACTTTTTTTCCTGACTAAACACAGTTTAAACAATAAAATAAAAGCAAGCCCCCTTTAACAGGGTTTAGCTTTGATTTTCATTGATTTTTAAACTGAGGTTCTGTGAACTAGTAACCCACAGGTTGTCTTTCAAGTCTTCATCATCTGAGTGTCTCAAAATCTACCACTCTCTCAGTAGCGTAACTAGGAGTGGGTAAGAGGGGCACTCACCCTGGGCACCAAGTTAGAAAGGTTACCTCCCACCCTCACAGAGTCCATGCCCTGGCAGTTACCATGTGGGGAACTCCAAAACAGGCTGCTGCTGCTGCTGCTGCTTTTAAAAGCAACAGCTGGGGTGGCTAGAGTATGCAATAGTGGCAGCAGCTCAGCTGGGGACCGTAGGAGTTCCTGGCATGGATAAAACTGCTCTCTGTTCTTGGAAACTGCTCCCACCCCTGCTCCTGGAACAGTGTGCCCTGCCCCCTGTTTTCCTGCAGGTGCCAACTCTGCTTGTTATGCCATGCATTCCCTTGCTGACAAACTGCTTGGCTCAGCAGCCATTACATTACTGTGTCACTATCCATTACTTATTTAAATGTAACGCA